CTCGACTATGAGCTGCTCTTCATCATTGTTAAGTTTACGCGAGTTCGCAAGGGTTTGCGCGCGTGGGTGGATGCCGAGGTGTCTTTCGCGGAGGGTTTCAAATGGAACGTCGTATGCATTTGCTGCAGCTCGAAGAGATGGAACTTGGTGGGTAATATATGCTTGAAGGGCTAAAGAAAGTCTTCCCTCAGTTTGAGAGAGCATTGTAGGCAAATATTGTCATATAATAAGAGGAAGAAGCTCGAAGACGCGTTGTGGGCGCGTTTTGACCGGCTCGGTGGTGTGACCGGCTCGGTGGTAGGGTACGTTATATACTGTCTCCTGTGCAGATGATCTGCGCAGGTTAAGATTGTCGCAGTATCGTGGCAGAAAGGTACATATTTACAACGAACGAAGGCTTGTAGGTACTACAGTCGTTATACTTGGAGCCTGAAGCGAAGCGTCCGTCTCTGCTCATCTCTACTGAAATTGCACTGTGCAAATTCTACCAGCTATTCTCATAGCAGCCATGTCGTCGAGCTTGATCAAGACACGGGTGCTGATTATCTCAGATACTCACTTGGCGGCACTTGAGGAGCCCGGCACCAATGGCCGAGTCGCGGCCTTCCAAACACCTCTGCCCGTTGCAGATATTTTAATACACTGTGGAGATTTGACTTGTTACGGAACCTTGGACGAGTTTACGGAGGCTGTTGAGATGCTCCGCGAGATCGAGGCCCCGGTGAAATTGGTCATAGCTGGAAACCACGATTTATCTCTCGACCGAGAATACGTACTGGGCCATCTAGACCGAAAGCATATAGATCAGCAGCAAGGCCAGAAGACGTGGGAGCAGGCTAGACAACTCTGGACCGCACCCGACGGGCTAGCTGCGCAAGCAGGAATCACATTTCTCGATGAGGGTCATCATCAGATTGATCTCCCAAATGGTTCCCGCTTACAGGTCTACGCCTCACCATATACGCCAGAGTTCTGCGATTGGGGATTTCCGTACAGAAAGGATGAAGACCGTTTCAACGATCAAGCTTCCTCGCTGCTGGGCGCAAAAAACATTGCAATGGAATCAGTGCGAAGTTTCTCACATAATGACGAACCGATAGACATTATGATCACGCATGGTCCACCTTACGGTCGCCTCGATCGCACAATGCGGCGGCAACTCGTAGGATGTCCACATCTTCTCCGTGCTGTGATGAGGGCTCGACCACTGATCCATTGCTTTGGCCATATCCACGAGGCGTCAGGTGCTCAGATCGTACAGTGGTCAAACGAAGCCGACCAAATTGCCAGCAAACAGTCGACGATCAAGGCTTGGATTGATGGCGACTGGAAGGGTGGCATAGCAGATGACGGAAACGCGATCAGGACTCTGACGCCTGACTTGGATCTGGCCAAGAGCCACCACGCCGTGCACATCAATATATTCGATGCCGGCGAGGATCATGTCAAGCGAGGACAAGACACAATGCTGGTCAACGCTGCCATCATGAATTTAGGCGGCCGCCCGCTGAACCCACCTTGTGAGCATGAACATTTTTACAACGCGGCTAGATCGATCACTAACATTGATATCATCTAGGGCTTATTGATGTGCCATTACGGACAGCCTCTTGATTCTAGTCACCAGTCAAGGCTGAAATCTGTTCCTCAAAACATAAGATGAGTCGCGTGTCTATGTGTCAACTTGTGAAGTATTGGTAGCGTGATTGATCGATGCAAGGAGGGCCACGAATCGACTTGTTGATTTGTAGATCAAACTCCTGACGAAAAGAAGGAACGAAGTTGTTTTCTGCAGGCAAGACGGTCCAATGACAAGTCTTGCTCCAGGTTATCCCTTCACCGGCATTGCAGTATGCAGTGTATTGTCCGTCGCCGTGACTCGTACTATTCGCACCTCCCGCACGACTCGTATATTTCACAAAGGTCTCAAGAACGAAAGGTAGCGTGATAAACTGCTGCCTATTCTACAGCATATAGCGACCCGTTGTCGTGGCTGAAGTAGGAGGCACTGTAGCTATATTCAAGGTGACGATAGGGCGGCTCGCACTCGTGTGGGCTCGCATTCGCGTGAAGGTAGCTGCAGCCACTCTCTGTACGAAGATCCCCAATGACGTCCACTGTGATAAACTTGGTTGTCCCACAATTTGAGCCCCTTGTGATTGGCTAAGTGGCGAATCTGGGGTGCCATCGACTTCTTAACACCGAGGCGCAGGGTCGCTCGACGTGGAGATACAGGCCGCCTAGGTGGACATTTATTATTAGGACAGCAAGCGGTCCCGCTGAGAAGTGATTGCTTTGCGCGCATAAACCTCGACCACCTCAGCAAAATGGCGCCGAAACAGCGACCGCCTACCTTGACCCAGTATGCGCTGGGTCAGAGTCTAGAGATATTCCGCAACCTACTTTTGGTCCTCTTCCTGCTGCGCATCACCCGGACGACTTTCGTGCAGCTGCGCGGTTACGGCTTCATCGGTTCCCTCAAACAAGCCTACAAGGAGACCTACCGCCGAGGATATGCTACCTTCTTGTCACTCCCATTCGTACAAGCCAAAGTTCGTGCCGAAGTCAAGAAGGCCGTCACAGATCTTGAAAAGAAGCTAGTGCCGTCAGGACCCGGCGTAACGAATTTCACCTCGATACCTGCGACGGGATGGACGGTGGAGCAGGTTCGCGCGGAGCTGGAGAAGTTGTCGGCTATGGAGCACACAAGATGGGAGGACGGACGGGTCAGCGGCGCAGTCTACCACGGCGGAGATGACCTTGGTGATTTGCAAAGCGAAGCGTTCAAGCGATTCGGCGTGAGCAACCCCATCCACCCCGATGTCTTCCCAGGCGTACGAAAGATGGAGGCCGAGGTGGTGGCCATGACTTTGGGACTGTTCAATGCTCCAGAGAGTGGAGCTGGTGTCACCACTAGCGGTGGTTCGGAGAGCATTCTTATGGCCGTACTTTCGGCGCGCAACAAGGCATACAAGGAGCGCGGCGTGCGTGAGCCGGAGATGATTCTCCCAGAGACTGCTCACACCGCCTTCCGCAAGGCTGGGGAGTACTTCAAGATCCGCATTCATCTTGTGCCCACTCCTGAGCCAAGCTACCGCGTCCACATCCCCTCAGTAAGCCGCCTGATTAACTCTAACACGATCCTCCTGGTCGGTTCAGCACCCAACTTTCCACATGGAATCGTCGACGACATCCCTGCGCTTTCACGACTCGCATCTAAGCACAAGCTCCCACTGCACGTCGACTGTTGTCTCGGATCCTTCATCATTCCCTTCCTCGCCAAAGCTGGGTTCCCCACCCCGGAGTTTGACTTCCGTGTACCTGGCGTGACATCGATCAGTGTCGACACGCACAAGTACGGCTTCGCACCGAAGGGAAACAGCGTGGTTCTCTACAGAAATGCCGAGCTGCGCAAGTACCAATACTACGTCTGCCCCGACTGGTCCGGCGGTGTCTACGCCTCACCGAACATGGCAGGCTCACGACCCGGCGCGCTCATCGCCGGCTGCTGGGCGTCGCTCATGAAAATGGGCGAGGACGGTTACCTCGACACCTGCCTCAAGATCGTCGGAGCCACCAAGCAGATCGAGGAGGCGATCCGGAGCTCCGACAAGCTGCGCCACAGCATCACTGTCATCGGCAAACCCATGGTCTCCGTGGTGGCCTTCCGCGCAGTACAGAAGCCCAAGAAGCAAGATTACGCCGTGGACATCTACGAGATGGCAGATGCCATGTCCGCCAAGGGCTGGCATCTGAACGCGTTGCAGGACCCGCCGGCGATTCACGTCGCCGTCACCCTGCCGATCGTCAACGCGGTGGATGCGTTGATCAAGGACCTCGAAGAGGTGGTGTTGACTGTTAGAGGGCACGTCTCCTCTAAGAAGGGAGATACTGCGGCGCTGTACGGTGTGGCAGGCAGTATTCCTGACAAGAGTATCGTGCGGGACCTTGCGAGCGGTTTCCTGGACACGTTATACAAGGTCTGATTCAGGTTGTCGTGGCAAAATTCAAAGCGTTCATGTAGATTTTGAAATTTTATTCTGTCCTCACCTTCTACCATAACTGCAGAGCTTCTTCGCAATTTGTACCACGGAAATGTTTACAGTGCAGGCGGTCATCCGTGTCACTCGCGCCATTTGAGAGCATGATGTAGTGGGACAAGTATCAGGATTGTGCATCCGCCTTGGCTAATACATATGTACACAGTGTCATCTGATATAAAAAACCCCAGCCTCCATAGATGCGTCTCGAACCCCATTCATGTCTCTTGACAGCCGCACCCCATCGCTACTCCATCGTAGATAAATCTACTGGTCCAACTTGAGCGGGAAGGTGCCAGCCTCTCGCTGGTCATCCCATCGGTTGGCCCATGAGGCCGGGCAGAGGGATCGGTAGGCGAGGAAGAACTGTAAATCCGGGCCTTCGTATTAGCACATGTCCACAACGTTTCTCATCGCCTGACTTCAAAATGCTCTCTTGTCCCAATGCCTGCTCAATCTGGACCTCTCCTCGCATCCCTTCCTCGACGTACCTGGCGGCAAGGCTTGAAGTCCTCTCCCTTGGCGAGAATGCACTTGTGATAGTCGACGTAGTTTTGCCAGCAGTGCTTGGTCTGGTTCTGGTTCGGAAAGCGAGCGTCGAAGCCTATGTATCCTTCATTAGTTTTCCCCTCCCTCTGTTTCTCCGCGGTTTCGAGGATGATTGAAGTCGCGTGGAGCTCGCTGGCTACTTTCGACGCCGCTCAGAAAAGACATACCGGCTGTGATCAATGGTTAGCGCGCCTGGTCATTTGCAGCTCGGAAGAGACCTCGGTTCTGGGTTGGACGACTCACCAGTCACGAACTTGAAGGGCATGGTCACGCGATCCTCGTCGTCCGACATCTTGGCGGTGTTGTTGGTGGTGTTGAGTGGAGAGTTGGAAAGAAAATGTTATAGACTGAACAGTCGCTCGTGAGTTGTGAAGTAATCGAGACTTCTCGCCGTCGCAGCGAGGTCCAGCTTGTGTGTGAGGTTGCGAATGGTGATGGCAGCGACATCTCGGGAAGGGCCGGGCGAGCCTGACCACTTTAGGCCAGCCCGTGCTCGGCTCGTTGGCAAGTAAGCAAAAAGTCGATTCCCGGGCGTGGGCCATTGGCGCGGCAGCAGCCACACCACTACGCCTGTTCGGTGCCGGGAAGCTGCTGCAGCTGTTTGTCTACTGCTGCTGCTCTCTCGTTACGTCGGCCTCTCTTCCAGGTTGACGACCAGTCTTACCAACTCTCCACTCTTCCACCACTCTCACCAGTGGCGGTCCCAATCACGATGCAGTCGACACGCTTCCTCGCGTCCAACATGGCGCGCATGCAGGCCCTCCGCACTCGCGCGGTCCCGGTTGTCCGCACACAACAGACCCGAGGTCTCCAGATGCAACCATCGAAGAAGATGATGGCAGTGCCGGTATGGTCCCTTCACCTGGAATCCGATATGAGGTTGTGCCTGAAAAATTTACTGACCAATTTTGCGTACAGAAAGAGGAGCAGTCTGGTACGTGAAGCGCCATCACTAGTCCCGCACAGCATAAGGGGGAAACACACATTCAGAGCGGGAGCAGAACCAATAGAGTCTGCCTAAAGGAGTCTGTCATTGGAGGACCCATTGGCAGCAGAGCGAGGAATGAATGTAGAGATTGAATCGCGCTGACTATAACAAAACAGCCCACACCATCTCCCAGCGTCTGCGTACCTTGAAGAAGATTCCTCCGGAGTTGATCCCCCTCGGAATCGTCTTGGCTGTCGCTGTCGGCGCCGCCGCCTACTCCCTCATCAACAAGCTCATTGTCGACAAGACCCTTCGTCTGTCCCGAACTGGCAAGCAGCACTAGAGAGCTGGTCCGACGAGAGATGTTTAGGGAAGGAAATCAGGACCATGCTTTGAAGGCCGGGGGAGCACGGAATACATGTACAAAACCTCTTGAGATGCTGCGGGAGGCACCTAAGAGATCAGTGCAAGAGCTACATCTGTCTGATCTTGCATTGTGTTTTACATGTCAACCTCTGTTTTACGCGCCCGCAGGCATGCCAGAACATTTGGACTTATTTTTTCCTATGTGAATACAAGAGTCTCATGTATGAGAATTATCATGTCAGTGATCCAGCCACTCGTCAATCCTTCAACTTCCAATCATTACGACCCCATTCTCGCCTCGCGTAGAGCCCGCCGCAGAGTATCCAATTTTGACCTCTCTCGCACGAGGCTTTCCCTCGCCAACTTTCTCAACATTGCCCGGCCCGCCGTGACATGTTCCTCCTGCCAGACCGCTAGCTCGCCAGCGATAGTCTGCTGAGTGTACCGCAGCTCGCACGCTAGACCCTCTAGCTCCCCGCGTGCCTTGCCAGCTTTATCCCAAGCGTCCAGCGCATTTGCTTTTTTGGTCTCGTCGAAAAGACCGCCAATGCGTGGCGTCCAGCGATTGCTGCGGGACAGCGAGCCCATGACGCGGTCGATGGTGCGCTGGGCTTGATTCATGCTGCCGATGAGATAGGCGGGCCGGTTGGTCGCGACTTGCAGAGCGGTGCTGGTCGAGTGCATCGAGTGTAGGCTGTAGTATAGCCCGACCATGGGCGATGACTCGCTCGGTTGTAATGTCTTGCTGTAGCGGGCGTAGGCTCGTGCGTGTGCGGACGGGAGGTCCGTCAATGCGGAGATTCCAGTTGCGACCAACATCTGTGCTTCGGCTAGGTCGTTGGCTCGCATGCGTTGGCGGTTCACGGTACGAAGTGTGCGACGGACGGCGCCAGTGACACCTTTGACTTGGTCGCGGGCAAAGGCGACGAAATTTTCCACGCCCTGAGTGTCCGTCACAGGTTCGTAGTCGTCTTTGAGGTTTTCGATGCGTGTTTCGGCTTTGCGCCTGGTTCGTTCTGACAGCATTGCAGTGTCGATGTCAGGCACAAGGAAGAACTCCCATACCAGCTCGTGGGTGGAGAAAGTGCCATGCGTCAGGAGACCTTGGAAGAAGTTGTCGAGTCTGATCTGGGTATCGCGAAGTACGGCTCTCGATGGCTTGTGCGGGATCAAGTATGGCGAGGGCAAATTGAAGTGAGTGGGAAGCCAACTGGCAGGGCACTCAATGGAGAGCAGCTTGGAAAGCGTTTCAAAGTCGGCGGCTGCGCGCCGACACGTAGTGACCGTGATAGTACCATTAGGATTGGGTGCGCCCGACTTGAGCACCAGACGCACTGTTGCATCCTCGACAAAGAAAGCGCGCACCACAGTAGTCATGCGACCATCTCTACCTGGCGGAACGGACAGCAGAACCAAGTCATCAATACGGTTCCGGACATCATCATCCTTTGCAAGTTCCACAGCTGTGAGACCACGGAAATCACGCATAGTCAGATCTACACGGATATCTCCGAACAAGGTTCTGAGGAGCTCTGTCCGGCCGTATTTGCTGCTCACCATAAGTGGTGTGAAGCGTTTGTCGTTGGTAGCGTTGACGTCGCAGTCGCAGTGATACATGAGCTTGACAGCGATGCTGTTGTCGGTAACGATGTGTAATAGTGTATTGCCTTTGTGATCGATATGGTCGTCGAGGTGCAAGCGTTCGCCGTCGCCCTGAGCATCGGTCGCGAGTTTAATGGCCTGATCCACCATAGCGTGGTAGAGCTCATGGTCGTAGGATCTGAACAGAGCAAAAAGTGGCGTCTGACCGATCTTGTCTTTTTGACGCCAAGGCAATTTTGTGCCGAACCTCTGCATGAGATGGGGTTGGTGGAAAAGGTAGTGAGCAGCTCCGCGTCCCTTTGAATCTTGCAGCAGAAAATACTGGCAAAGCTCTTCCTCAGATGCGTTAGTTTCTAGGAAATCTAGAAGCTCATCGGCAAGTGCCCTGTTCCCGGACTGTACAGCTGCGCTGAGTAATGTGGTGCCCTCGTGATTGATGTCGTCCAGGACGAAAGCGATGCGGAAGTGGGCTGGCATAGAGAGGAAAAATTTCAAAATATCTCGACGGCTTGAGTCAATTGCCATCATGAGCACAGAATTGCCGTCGGCGTCTTGCGTCTGAGCCAACTTATCGACGGAGAGATCATCTGTTGAGGTGCCATTTCCTACAGACACAACGCTCATATTCCGTGAGTGCGCTTCCGAAGAATGTAGCGAAGAAGCTGAAAGGCTGCGTGGTAAGGATGCCATAGAGACACGCTTCTTTGAGATCTTTCCAGCCTGATCAGGTGGCGGCGTGGGAGGTCGTTGAAAGGGAAAGATGTGTTGTAAGGACCCATGTCCAGCGGCAAATTCGTCGCGCGAACTCTCAGCATGTCCATCGTGGACGTTTCGAGTCACTACGAGCTCTTCGTTGGTACTCTCATCGTCTTCAGAGGAGTCATCTGCATCGCCGTCGGGTGATGCTCCAGAGTCCATGTCTGTAGCGTTGGGCCGCATCATAGCTTTGACAGCTTTGATATCGCCTGCTCTGACCGACTGCCACAACAGCTTGTTGTGCTTGCTGGCTCGTCGCAGGGCATTGGATCCCGTAGAAAGATGCGAAAGGACAGCCTCGAGGGTTGCCAACGCATAGCCTTGTTCGCCGATCTCCACCTCGTCAGTGAAGATGAAGTAGCGCATGCAAAGCAATCTTGAATGCAAATGCTTGACTTCGCTGCGAATAACGACGACGAGAAGCATGGATACCAGTACATCGGCATTGACTGTCAATGGAGTGGACGGCTCCACGTCTGCAGAGTCGGACGTGTCCCCACTGCTGTCAGATCCATTCTCCGTGATGACCTTTTGCGTATTGAGTAGAATCTCGAGCATTTCCTGAGGACTTCCAGCTACTCCCATCCTCTTGAACGCCTCAATGCCTTTCGCCAATCGCGCTGCAAGACCGCGCTTGCCCTTCATCCCGTCCTCGATCGGCACGCCCACCTGCGCTATGTCAATATTTGACATCTTGCGAATCTTGAAATCCAAGTCCCAGTCGTCGGATTTGCGCACCGCACATATATGACGAAATAAAGTCTGATCATGAATTTGTTCTACTACGTATCGTTCAATCAGGCGCTCGACAGCTGGACCAGTCAGCTCGGTGCTGGCACCGAGAAGTGAAAGTTGGTGTTTGTCTACGCTCTGAAAAAGATCAATTGCTGCGATGATAGCTGTCTCGAGCGAAGTTCTGAGGGTCTGCTCTTCGGGTTCCAGCTCTAAAGATGTCGGATGGGCGGTACTGGTGCTGACACCAGATCGGGAAGAACGGATCGAAGACACATCACTGAATGACGAGAATGTCCGATGGGAGCTCTGCGATGTCGCGCGTGGACGCTTGGCAGGCGCAAGCGGGTTGTCATGGATCGCAGTAAAATCACGAATGACCTTTTCTAGTCCGCTCTGCATTTGTCTCGAAATGATAGGGAATTGCTCGAGTACATCGGCAAAGCTCTTGATATCCTTTTTCTTAAGCGTTGATGTGCCAGCTGTTGCCTTCGCGGTAGTGGTGTCCGTCGCTTCCGCAAGCACTCTCCTACGCTCTTTGCTAGGCTCATCACTGATCACCGCAGGAATGGGCACTGTTGACTGAATGCTGCCAATGAGCGGGCGCGAAATGTAGTACACGAGCCATTGTTGGCCATCTGACGTATCCGGATAGTAAATGGTATCTCCCAACAGTTGTGCTTGGTTCAACGTCTTGAAGCCTTTGTTGCTGTACACGAACGCATCCTTGATGATAACCGTCCTTCCGTTGATGGTCGAATATTGCCTCGCCTTAGTCTTATTTTCCCTAGGATGTCCACCATCCTTGTTCGATTGTTCGCCAGGAGGCCCGCCTCCTGTAACACGTAGGACATGACTGGCGAGAAAATCCTCAGTGCCTGCGAGCTCGGCGTAGCTGGCATTGGAGTCCCGATCTTTCGCATGTAGCAGAACTTCGGTGGTCGGAACCAGCAAGATGTGCTGATTGGCGGGATTACATTGCGCTGGCAAGGCGCTCTGGAAGAAGGCGCGCAAAAACGGATTTAATGGGTGCATTATGCGACTTCATGCTTCGAGGGCTCCGACGAATGTATGAGATGGTGCTTCGGCTATCGGAGCACGAGAATGTCGCGCATCCCGAACGGCAGTTCGCGTCGAAGTGGGATTGTGTTGACAGGGCTCATAATGTCTTGGACGAGTAATTCGATGGCTTGGTCAATCGCAAGCAGGCACCCGAATTGATATCTCTTGCTGCTGCAGCTGCGACATCTGATACGGCTATTGCACGTGCTAGCACGTGTCGGATGAATGACAGTTAGGTCCGTGCGACAGCGGCTCAGAGCGGCTCCGAATATCAACACAAGGACATTACAATAGCTTCAAGACCTGCTCCTACCGCGGTAACAAATTCAGCCTTAATCTTGTATAACTTCGTTCGGCGAAAATTGTATCTTTGTCCGACACTATAAGCGATTCAAGATACGTTATAATGTCTATTATGCCTATTATCTGGGTTACGATTATTCTCGCTATCGGTCACTGTCAGGTCCGTGCTATCCTTCTTCCGCGCTCGGAAATAAAGCCTCTGATGCCAGCACCTATGGTTGATGTTCATACCGAGATTTGGAGACAGCCCGACCAATACTATGTCTATCTCGCGGAAGGTTATACTATCGCGGAGCACTTCCACACCATCGGCCAGAACTTGACCCACCGAATCAAGCGGCGCTGGGATGATCCAGATCTAGATCATCCCAATTATGCCTTCACCATTTATCTGACCGATCAGTCCGATCTCGACCTCATCAGAAGAGACTCCAGAGTCAAGTCAGTCGGCCAAGACTTTAAGTCGGCCGACTTGGACATTTGGTTTGACTGGACGTACGAGGAGCCTGACAATCCTCTTCGTATAGCACAAGAGGCGCGTCTCAATTGGCGCTACACTAAACCTGTTCAACTAGCAAGACCGGAGCCAGGATTTGTTGTGCGGAAATTTCCACACGAGTACTATGTGTATCTAGATCGTGATTGGACCATTGAAGGTTACTTCACTAAACTAGAGCGCGACTGGATCGATCGCACGAAAAAAAGAAGCAACCCCGACGGTCCCTGGTCCGAAGCCTCCTTCATTATCCATCTTGAAGATGAAGCAGATCTCGCCGTAGTTCGTGCGAGCGCGGAGCCAATCATTATCGCCGAGCACGCAGAATATTTGCCTTTAAGTTTTTTCGAGAATGATAATGATATGACTTGCAACGCCGAGCCGCGTTACAACCCTTTCTTTGTACCCGATAAGCCCACGACAGGGAGCTAATGCACATCCACTGGCACAGGGCTAATGTTCAGTTGCCATCATAACTGGATCGAAGGGCGATTTCATTACGCCGTCGGACTTCGGTGGTCTGCAGATGCGTTATGAGCGACGGCTGCTGTGTCGCTCTATGAAGGGGTTCATATCACCTATAAGTTCGTTGCCTTGTCCTGCGTCTCGCGATGTCAACTACAATTGAACCACCCAAACAAGGAGTTCAAATTTAAGATGATATTTACAACGACGATTTTCGAGATGATCAATTATTCTCATGATTTAATGTTATGCTATCTAGATCTCAAGCCCGAAAAGAGCCTTTGTTGAAGCGAGATCAACGTGATAACCTTCTCATCTCCACCCATCGGAGGAATAGCGAGAAGACTGAATTGATCCCTGGGGAATATCCTTCCCTCAAACAACGCCTTGAGCGCCATACAATGCTTTTGGCGTTCGTGGAACAATGCCCCTGCCGTTGAAGACAAACCCCCCGTTTTGGTATATGGTATCATTCCGAATGCCAGTGTTGAATTCCTAGCCAATAGACGTCAAGTGCACCCCATCACAAAAAAAGAAAAGTACAAAGAGGAAACATCTAGTATCGGTACATCTCGCTCTTGAAGGGACCCTCGATGGGGAGACCCATGTACTCGGCCTGGACGTCGGTCATCTTGGTGAGGTGGACGTTGACGTGCTCGCAGTGGAGAAGGGCGACCTGCTCGTCGAGGATCTTGGGGATGACGTAGACACCGACGGGCAGACGGTCGACGGAAGTCTTGACATCAGCCTCCTTCTTCTTGAGGACGGGACCCTCGGTGACCTCGTCGGCCTCGGCGGCACGGGCGAACTCGATGTACTTCTTGGAGAACTCCTTGTTGCCGGCAGTGTACAACATGATCTGGGCAAGGACCTGGTTGGTGAAGGAGCAGGACATGACGAAAGAGCTGTGGCCGGTGGCACATCCAAGGTTGACGAGACGACCCTCGGCGAGGAGGATGATGTGACGTCCGTTGGACATGGTGAAGCGGTCGACCTGAGGCTTGATGCTGACGACCTCCTTGGCGTTGGCCTTCAACCAGGCGACGTCGATCTCAATGTCGAAGTGACCAATGTTGCAAACGACGGCATCCTCGCGCATGACCTCGAAGTGCTTGCCGACGATGATGTCACGGCAACCGGTGGTAGTGACGAAGATCTGAGCACGAGGAGCAGCCTCCTCCATGGTGACGACCTCGTAGCCGGCCATGGCGGCCTGGAGGGCGTTGATGGGGTCAATCTCAGTGACGAGGACACGGGAACCGAAGCTGCGGAGGGCCTCGGCGCAACCCTTGCCGACATCACCGAAACCGGCAACGACGGAGATCTTACCAGCGATCATGACATCGGTGGCACGCTTGATACCGTCGAGGAGAGACTCACGGCAACCGTAAAGGTTGTCGAACTTACTCTTGGTGACAGCGTCGTTGACGTTGATGGCAGGGACGAGAAGACCGTTGGCCTTGCCAGCGTTCTTCAACATCTTGTAGAGGTGGTGGACACCAGTGGTGGTCTCCTCGCTGACACCGTAGCAGCCCTCGAGTTGCTCGGGGTACTTGGTGTGAACCAAGGCGGTCAAGTCACCACCGTCATCGAGGATGAGGTTGAGCTTCTTGCCCGATGGGAAGGCGTTGAGCTGCTGCTCCAAGCACCAGTTGTACTCCTCTTCAGTCTCACCCTTCCAGGCGAAGACGGGGATACCGGCGGCGGCAATGGCGGCAGCGGCGTGGTCCTGGGTGGAGAAAATGTTGCAGGATGACCAGGTGATCTCAGCGCCGAGAGCCGCGAGGGTCTCGATGAGGACAGCAGTCTGGATGGCTGGAAAAGGGAAATTATCAGCATCTTATCGTTCGAACAGGCCTCGACTGGTATCTGTCTCGGGACTTACTCATGTGCAAGCAACCGGCAATGCGGGCACCCTTCAGCGGCTGGTCCTGAGCGTACTTGGCACGGGTGGCCATGAGACCGGGCATCTCCTGCTCGGCGAGGTCAATCTCGCGACGGCCGAAGGCCGCGAGGTTGATGTCGGCAACCTGATTGAGATGGTGAGTGACATGATCTCCGCCAAATTGAACCTCAATTGCTCGCTCGACGTACCTTGAACTGTTGAGCTGGGGCAGCCATTTTGTCGGTTGTGATGTGAATGAAGGAGAAGGGATGGATAGAAGATGAAGTCACTTGTTCAAGAGAAATCGAACAAGAGGAAGAGAAGAGAGGAGGATGAAGGAAGCAGGAGAAGTAACCGGAGGGGATTGGAACGACAAATATAAATATTTCTTCCGTAGAGAGCTGGAGGAGGAGGACCTGTCACTACCACCACTACTGCTGCTGCTACTGCCACTGCTAGTTGCTGCTATCAGGTTTGGTCCATTGAACCAACGGCCAGAGAAGTGTCCGAGAAGATCGAGCACCACCACCTCTCATCACCCTGCCCACTGCTCGCTGCACTTACTACCCACCTCCCCAATTACTGTACTCACAAGCCAATACCATACACTTCAGCCGGGCATCAATGGAAAGCTGTAGGACATTAAATACCGCGCAATGTCGTCTGATGTTTGCCGCCGGAATGGACAACAAAATGGAGACAACTACCACTGGACTGCTAGGCATAGCAGACGGGACCTTGTGGAGGGACCCTCATCATAATAATTTTTTGTTGACACCTGCATCCATAGAAAGCGGGCCCAAAATTACCTCGAGCCCCACCATCGAACTGGAGGAAAACCCTGCCGCTATACCCAAACCATAATCAAAACCCCATCCGATCTTCCAGGGACCATTGAGCACTTCCAAGCTTTGCGCTCTCTCTGCATGTGCCAGCAGCGCGACGACGGACCTGAATGGTCGTCCTGGTGATGATCTTCTTCCCCTCCAGGATTAAATATCTGCGTCACTCATGGCCAATATCTGGTCTTCGCTCTCACCGGGAAATTCGTAAACTACGAAGGCTCTCATGAGAACCACAATACAAACATTGTCTCTGGCAAGCCTGCTTGCACGGCCGCATAGATGGGAAATTTCCATGCCCGCATCGTTGCTAGAGATCGGACACGAGCGGAGGGCAATCTGACCGGAGGCGGACCTTTTTCGACGTCAGCTTGCTCCAGGAGGCCCACGCGTCGGTTGCCGAGACTCCATCCGGACAACAGGTCGGCGTGTTGAATGGAACTCGCCTCCCTTCCTCAGCACCACTTTGGTTCCTTTCTATAATCCTGGGCTGTATTCAATCCGACCTGATGTTAAATTCCTTGATTCACGCCGTGCGGCTCTCGCGGTTTCGTCCGACGCCGAGTGAACGATCGTCGTGTGCTCCTTTTTCTTCTTCTGCTCGGACTGATGCTGTCTCCAATCGCGCGACTCTAATTGCCCACAATTGATGGAATCCAACCCCATCCACGGGTCAATAGATTAATCATTTATCATTATTCCATATGCGCCTGGTTCTGCTACTTGTGCGCGCGCGTCCGAAGCGCGCGCATTGCTGTACTAGCGACCATTTGATTGCCCCACCATGAGCTTTGTTCGGAGTTCCGCTGTCGACAGCAGCGAAATCTTTTAGGGTTGCCTTTCCTCCTCTTGGGAAACGAACGGCTGTAGAGGGGGCCATCGTACCATCTGAAGAAAACGTTTTTAGTAGAACGCGAAAAAAAAATTCAGACGGCTTCGTGTTATCGTTCTTGGAAGTCGGTGCTGCCCTTGGATTCTACAGCACTTGATCGATTTCCAGAAGCGCCCGCATCTCGGACATCCGGTGAGGTTCTGGCGCTTTCGTATTGCCCGTGGGGAAAGAATACTCCGGGGTTGAGGATGTGTTTTCCGCCGCAGGATGATACAAAGGGTGGACCACGTCGGCAATGGAGTCGACGTGTTTAGTAATCCTGCCTATGACTCTTTTGACTGTATGTTACTCCGACACTACTGTACACAAGGCCCCCAAAGATACAGAATCGATGTATGAGGATGAAACATGATTCTGTTTTCTGTCTTCCTCAAGTCCTCATTCGCTCGCTCGCTGGCTTGCTCGCTCGAATACGGGGCTGGTAGTTTTGGGAGAGATACAGTATAACAACGCCTTGCCTCGCCACGTGAGACCACTATTCGCTCGCTATGCATTTGTTCGCGCAGGACAGAAACATGACTTCCAACAGTTGGGGAAAAATTCTCTGGCAAACAAAAAGGGTGATCAGAACATCGACGCTACACTCAAGACCAAAAGGGAAAAGGAACATGAAATCATTCTGGCGGGAGGAAGCCCCGAGCGAGCTCTCCCGCACTGCGAGGCACCGGCGGCTATCGCTGCTGTCCTCCGACGGCCTCGTGGGGCGTAAAGGTGTGAATACAAACTGCATCATGAGGAGGCTGGCAGGCTCATTCCCTGCATCCTCTTAATCAGATCATCAGAAGACTGTGCGGACCGAGGCATTTCGGTCGCTTCTTCGTCTGCTTTTTTTTCATCGTCATTATTGTAGTCGTCGAACGGTGTCGCCGAGCCAGGCGATCGTTGAGTCATTTTGGTTGTGGTTGTTGTAATCGTGTCTTTGGGCCCGTCGTCATAAGTGAAGTCGTTGAAAATGCTCCGGAAGGGAGGTGCACCTCCGGAGAATGATTGCCGGTCGACCGACGGCGGTGGAGAGCCGCGCCGGCGTTGTGGCGTCGTATAGAGACCTTCGGTCTCACGCAAGGCGTCTTTGACCTTCCGTTTGAGAGCGTTGACATATGGCACGATGTGTCGCAGGGTGGCTGTGTCGAAGGGAACTTTCTTCGTTCGGCCGGCAGGCGCAAGAGATCCAGGGTCCGCCACATTGCTGCGTTTGCCTTGTAGCGCTGCAATGACGCTCTGTGCCACCAGTTCGGAATCCTTGCGAGGTCGTGATGGCGTGTTCTGTCGTGAATTAGATTTGGAAATATCAGTTGGCGTTCCAGGGACGGGCAGCACAGGCTCAGAGAGAGTGATAATCGAAGGACGGCGGGAAGATGGACGTACTGCCGCACCAGTGTCTTCGAAGGCGTCGAAATCAAAGCCCGGAGATGACGGCGGCGAGCGGCGAGGTTCCAGTGTCTGCTCCTCGGATTCCTGGTCCGCGAGCTCCACCATAGCATCGACCTCGCGCCATGCCTGAGCGTGTGGGCCATTCAGCATGTCCAGTGCGACTGCCCGGATGCGCAACTCTTTAAGCTCCTCGATGAGAAGTCCCCATTCCCGCAAAAGGCCGATATTGGCGACGACATTCTCCTGCGAGGCTTTGACCATTTGCGGCACGTCAAAATCACGGCCGCTGTCGATTCGCTTCCCGCCAGATGTAGAATCATCATTGTTAGTGGCGATCGCATCAGGTTGCGTGAAATCGAAGTCCTCGTCCCAATCCTCAGTCACTCCTTTGCTGCCAACTCCCCAGGTGCCAAATTTGTTGGCAATGAGATTCGATCGTTTGTTGTCGACATCTGGAGCCACTGGCACACTGTGACTTCGAGCATGCATGCCGCTCACAGGCCGGCGACCGATTGGCCGACTCCCTCTGCTGTCCTGATCCTTTTTCCCGTGAACAGTTCTCGGCCGCGGCGGCGAGTTTTTCGATTGTCCCGGGCTGGGTTGAGGCTCAGACCAATCAAACAAGTTTGTCCGGTCCAGGGCTGTGACATTATTGCGGTACGGACTTTGTGTTGGGGAGTCTGGGCTGGAAAAGCGCAAGTTAGGCCCAAGTCGAAATGGGATCGATTTGCTCGCCGGCGTTCCGTTCGGTGAGTGACCATGGGATCGAACTCTAGCTTCCGAGACCAGCTTGGATGTAGACTCGTCCTCTTCTTCAGCGTCCCAATCTAGATCGTCAAGATCGGGGACGAGGTTCATAGTGGGTGGTGACGAGGCAAATATGTCAGAAGCACCAGGTCGCGCAGACGGCGTGTTTGTGACGCTCCGATTGTGAATTGATCGTACAGGTGTGCTGAGTACGCTCCCCTCCTCCTCAATTATGCTGTGTCGATATCGAGCATTGTGGTCACCACCAGATGTTTGGCCGTCGTTCAGAAAATCGCGCAATTTATTGCTCCGGCCTGACGAATATGTAGGTGGTGAATCATCGAATATGGTCTCAATGTGCGGTCCTCGTCGACCAGAGCTACTTCTTGTAGTTCTCGTTGGTAGTGAGTCGAATGCGTGATCACTCTGATAATCTGTGCTGGTGTCGTCCAGTGATCGTAATTCACTTTCCGATCCTACAGTGGAGGCAGGTTCGGAGAGCGCCGCAGATAAGCGAGGAGGACGCATCGTGAATTCATTCTCTGTAGCTGGCCGGCGTGTGGACTCTTGTGTCAAAGGATCGGCGATATCGAGTCGTGATTCTGTATTCGGCGCGGGTAAGATTCCTACATCGGAGACTATTTTCAATTCTTCGTCAGAAGGTGGATTGCTATCAAGAGCACCATTCAAGAAGGATCGCATGCTGTGCGACGTCAACGGTTGGGCACCAAAGTCTCGACGTTTTGCAGGCCGCTCGATGCCATCAAAGTCCGGTGGAGGATTAAATGCATCGCCTACGAAGTCGATGGGCATTGACACAACTCTTGGCCGGCCTCGCTTTGATAGCTGTAGTTTGCTTCGGCTCGATGAGGGTCGTCGCCATAACGGTTGCGGTCCGGAGGACAGAAGATCGCTGATGGAGAAAGAGCGTCGTGGACTGTTCTTCTCTGGGAAGGAGCCATGATTGGGAAGCGGCGACGAGGGTGTGCTCGCGTTGAACTGTCTTGATGCAAAATCATCTTCAACATCGCTTCCTCCTTCACTGTCCCATCTGTCAAACACAACGCCCGCAGGCCCTGCCAGGTCGAAAGCTGACACCAGGACTGGTACATGCTTTTTGTCCGGATATACCCTCCTGATTGGTGTGGGAATGCCGGATGACGTTCGGGGACGCTTGGAGAAAGGTCTTTCTTCGTCGGCTATGCGAGGAGTGAAGTAATGGCGCCATTGTGACTCCCGAGCATCCGGCAAGCTACCCTCCGTCGAAACGTAGCTGCTGGAGATATAACTTGGAATGCTTTCCCGGAGCAGGCTGGAGCGCTGATGACTTGTTGCTGGCCTTCGCATCACCGGCAGAGGTAATTTGGACCCAGCACTCAGGGATCTGTCCGTCCCACGTGACGGCGGTGGCACTTGCTTGACTAATTTGTTCGTCGGTCGAGGTGATGGAGTCTGAGGAGCGAGGATCGGCCTTGTCGAGTCTGCGTGCGAGAAGGTGAACGACGCATTGGAATGTGAGAGAGCCGAAGTGCTGGGTCGGGATGGTGCACGACTGGAATCGCGTGATCCTGATATGCTGCTGGACATGCGGCGCAGCCATGTTTGTGACGAAGCACCTGGTGTGACGACTGGTGGTTGCTGTGTTCCAACATCATTCTCCTGCGACGTCTGCCGTGGGCGTTCCATACCCGCACCCAAGTTGGCTCGTGGGGTCACCTGAAGGCTTCTCTTTTGAATCGCTAATGACCCACTTTCCGTTCGCATATGCTTCCCATGTCGGCCATCAACATCCGAGTCAGGGCCGTGTTCGACGTCCGGCAAAGCTGAAGCTGGGAAGGAGTCGGCATGGAGCGAGTGCTGACGGTGGTAGGAGAGAGGGTGAATCTGGTCCAGAGTACGGTTCTGGTGGTAAGAGTGGCGCTGGGCGACGTCAAGCATGGACGAGACAGGGCGGTGGTGAGCCGACTCGTCGTACTGATCTCTTCGAGCGAAAGCCAGGCCGAGAGTGGAGACGGAAGTGGCAGCGCTGGACGCACAGAGGGTCGATATTGTTCGCATTCTATGTCATTCTTGTTGAAGTTGGGTAGGTCACGCGTGCCAGAGCAGCATGCTGGGAGGCCGGCGCAAGCGACAAGACGTCCACACTTTGGCTCACCCGCCGCATTGCACACGCGAGACACCAACAGTGAATGCAATGGAAATCCGTTGCAAGCCAACGTGTGAACCGACTTGCTGTCAGCAAGCCTCTTTCCGGAAAGGCGGTACACAGCCTGGCTCGGTGTCTCGTCCTTTGCTGGGAGGGTAGAGGGACTTCAGAAGGATCCTGGTGGTGAGGCCGGAAGGGTTGCGTGATGATCCGCAATGGGAGCCCGTTTGAGGTTGATGATGTGAGGAGGAAAAGCCTGGGTGATCTCACCTAGACGAACACACATACATTACGCAAATACACGGACGCCGGTAGTGAGAAGAGAAGGAGGAGGAGGAGGAGGGAAGGAAAAGCGGTTCGTGGTTTGGCGATCGAAGATCACGGCCCAGGTGTTGATGGTGGTGGGTACAGAAATCATAGAGGTGGTGAAGAAGCAGGGTTGACGAGCCTCCTCCAGGGCCCTCTCACCACCACCGTTCCTCTTCCTCGGTGCACCACGAACGACGACAAACGAGCACGCAGCAGGCGCCCCGAAGTGAAGCAGGCAATGCAATATGCGCCAAATTATATTTGTTAGGAATCACTATACATGGGCAACGCCAACGATCCGTACGCACCACACTCCAGGGCGATTTATTCATTTGTGCGTCGCGTATACTGTGCGTATACTGTACGTCCATGGTCAGGTCAATCCATGCACTTCTCGCTTTCACGCCTTCAACTACACTGCCATCTTCGCCATTATCATCCTCACTATTATTACAGTGGAGGCATTGGGAGGGGCATTTAAGCATCGTGTCTCTATTCCACCTTTTTTCAATTATTATCGTCCATTGTACAACGCTGTGTAATACGCGACGAAGGCGCACGGGAGGGTCATTGAAATTACAATGAGGGAGAGATGATGCTGCCCGCGTGGATCATCATCACCGCCTTGCCTCGTCCTCCACTGCCACCACTACCATCAGCCAACAGAACCAGCATCAGCTCGTTTGTGCGCCCGCCATCGGCGCAATCGAGGACCCCGAGGCGTGTGGGCATGCCACTCCGATTGCCTCGAGCACGGATCTCTGCCCTGATCTGGGGGAGAGGGAGGAAAGTTTGGCGGACTGCGTGCACAGTCACACTCCACCAGCTGGACGAACAGCGCGTGTGCGAGAGTGAGCGTGTACAGTACCGTTCCAGCTTCATTCTTTCAGCGCTAAATGATCATTCTGCTCCACCTGGTATTTATGTACTATGTAATGGGCGTCAATTCGTTCGCTACTTCGTTGTAGCACGTATAATAAGTGAATAACAAGCAGTGTTTGAATTGTAGCTATCGTACCTAGGTATTCATCAGATGGAGATCTTCTTTCGTCAGTGCCTGGCCAGTTCCCACATGAAACGCATCGTCATCAAAACGTTACATTGCTGATTTCATGTGCCGCGCTGATGAACTGACCGGTCGCTGGGCGCCAGCCCGCACGCATTATCTGCATGCCTGCCTACCTTCCCTGCGGCTGAGCATTTTTACCAGGAGCCTCTTTGCCAGGGAATGCTCATTATGGTTGCAAACGACATTGGAAGCAGGTACTGTCGAGTTACTCTTTCAACTTCAACATCATTGCTCTGCGGAACGGTTCACTGGAGAATATGGACACGGGAAGTCTATCGCTCATCGGCGGACTACTTTTTCTGTCTCGAGCCCATCCCGATTCAAGGCGTGGGCGCATGCACTCCCGACAATACCTTTCCTCTATAGGACAACACAGCATGATGTGCAACGTCCGCTACTGCTCGACCGCTCGCAACAAATAAAGCGGTTACATACTCTTGCGCCACCAAAGGAGCCCGCGTCAAGTCCGGTGGGAAGTATGGCAGTGAATGCATGCGGCAGTAGTCGACTCTGTGCCGGAAGTGACGCCGCCGCTGCATCTGTCAACCTTGTTCACCTATCGCCGTTCGGCTTGGAAAGTTTGTGAGTGCTAGATATTCGTTCTTTCATTGTCTTGCCAGCGACCTCGCGTCAATCATAGCTCACTCGTGTCGTAACGTTGACAAGCTCGCTCCAATAGCTTAACCGGACATCCGATGAGCCTTCCGTTATCCAGTATACTCAGGGGTAAGGTCAGATCGGTATGGTGAGCCTTTCAAATTCCTGTGGGTGCAGCGAAAGGCGTCCCCAACAATTTGTCGGTGCGTGAACATGGGTGTCGACGCCATAAGCGGACCATGTCGCGCAGTTGGCCTGCGGCCGAATTTTCTCCAGCGACGTGCCGAACCAGTCACAATTCATCACCGACTATCGAGTTCATGAGGCCTACCACGCCAGCACGCCTACCTTGGAAATCCGTGCCTGTGCTGACCGGGTCATTCCCAACTTGCTCATCTTTTCCAGACGCCGTTAAATCGGCTTCCATGGTGCCGCCGCGTAGCATTTCTGGGACAATGCCACGCTGACGAATGCTCGCTTGTACGGGATCTTCTGCGAGCCCTCCACGACATTGCCTCCTTCGCTTGCATGAGCCAAACCTTCATCCTGCCACAATATTGCGAGCGCGAACGGATCCTGGGCCCGCAGGCAGGTCTCTGATCTATTTTCAATGATGCGCTTTCCTTCATCTTGTTGTGCTGTATCACCCAACGAAAGATACACACCGCACTCACGTGCACTCGGCGTGGCAGACTTCACAAGATTTCCAGACAACTGCCGCGCCAAGGCGGACCGAAACACATGTACTTTTTAGTAACTTTTTTAGATCGCTTCACGATGACGAGTGGCTCGTAAACCATGTGGCACAGTCGGAGTTCGCTTTGTCCGCGTTCTCTGGCGATCGTGCGACCTATCCACAAAGCCAGTTTGTGGCACCCAATGACAAGCAATTTCGATGATTTCGGATTGAATGTCTGCGTCGAGCCGTCAAGCTTTTCTCCATAGCTATGATCCGTCAGCCGAGTGCTTTCATTGGGGAACCATCAGCAATAGAAATCCTTCCCTGCTCGGGCAAGCCGGCGATCAGGCGGACCTGGCTTGTGGGCTGTGCTGGTGAAACGCGTCGAGGGCAAAACGGCGTGGCCGAGATCTATCCCTGCAATCTATGTGGGTACTTGTGATGGTGGAACGGATGGCGTAAGGAGATCACTGCCCGCCTTGCATCATCGGTCAATGATGCAACACCAATGCCCTTCGTGAGCTGTGCACTTCTTGTCTGACCGCCGCAAGCATACGCTGCATTGGGGGATACATTGTGTGCATATGCATCTTGTGATGTGCATATGCAGCGCTCTGGAGATTTAACAGTAGACGCGCAGTAGGACAAGCTGACTGCATGGCAAGCGAAAAGTGTTCCAAGGTTTTGCTGGAGTCCCGTCACGTCGGCGCCGCGGATGCATTCATCATGTGGTTCTATCTGCAATCATCCAGGACACTGAACTAATCTATTCGGCCGAAACTCCCCATGCCTTTCCGAGGCATGATGACTGATGCTCATCCTGGCGGAATTTACCACCCCGACAAACACTGAGGATGACATGGTCGTTCTTAGTGTTGATAGGGCTGTCTAATTAGATGATGAGCGAGCCGACATTATCCAAATTATTCCAGTTGTTGCACCTACTCCACTGGGTTGGTGACATTCGTCGTTATCTGATGCCCGCGGGGGCGTTTGCCAGTGATCATACTCGTCATCACTTCCCAGGCGGCACCTACCTTTAGTACAACAGGCAGGTATCACAAGTAGCTCGGACTCGTTCCAGATATGTCCACCTCTTGCTCCGACAGGTCGCGCATCGACGCAGTCGTGGCCGTGTCCTGCTTGTACCTTGCGAGACCAGCAATACACTACTCGCTATATTTCCTCACCCCACATAGCATACGAAGGTCTCGTGCACAATTTGTATAACACTCATGCCCTGAGCCCTGCGGCAGTGTCCGCCGGCATCTCACAGCACACGGTGCGCGGCCCTCGTCGACAAGCTCCTTGCACCTAAACATGTCTTTATGCTGCACGCCGAGCGACCGCTGCTCAGACGCCGTATGATGAGCTCATCCAGCACCATGCGTCGCATCTCCGCCCTTGACCGCTTTGTCAAGCCGCCATAGACAAGCGCATTCCTCATCCTTAAGAGGACCTAGCTGGGCTCGTCAAGCGGCTGGAGGAACATGGTCGTCGTCGTCGTCGTTGATGACGACCATTCGCGGACACCACGAAAAGCAATCTCGGCTATATTATGGAAAAGTGGTTGCAGTAAGACGATTCGCACTGCGATGCTTCCTAAAAACACCGACGTTTGAAGCACTCGCAGATGCTGTAAATTGCAGCAAGTCTCGGCGACGACAATGCCTTGCGTAACAGCAGCGCCGCCATCCTCAAAGCAATCTTTCAGTGGATGATCCGGAATCATGAGCGGGGACTGCAGCAAGCTCTGTTTTTGAATCAACACTTTCGCCGCTGGAAACAAGCATACGCAGATGTCGCCTGAACCACAAACACCGCGGTTTGATCGGCGAGATAATGGATCCAGCGACACACAGATGCTTCATGGGCCGCCTTCTAGTAAGACCATGAGTGTGGATCCAACGAAAAGTGCCGACCGCGCTACCCCAGCCGTTCGCGGATGAAATTCCAAGGTAGTGATGCTAAATATTGTCTCAATCCTGAAGCTAATGCGAGTGGCCATGGCGGCAGCGTTCACGGTCGCGTTTATAGGTTGAGTCGAACTGCCTGCGCTTGTCGCGATGGCCGAGAGAGCTGAGACCTTGTATGAGAACAGAATTAATTGCCGCGTTCGCAAGACGGGAAAAACCCTGGCACAAGTTCTCCAACGCGGTGTAGCGATGCGATTCAGGCGCGATGACATTCACTCTGAGATCCAAAAGCGCCAGTGTCTATCAAGAGCATCCTTTTCCGGTAATGCAGGTGGCAGCGAGCGCAAAGCACTTGCTTTCATGTCTATCCCCTGTCATTGTATGTAATGACGAGACGCTACCAGGATCATGCACGGATGTTTGACCGCATTGCCGTATAAGTGAAGCCCGCGCAGACGAAGGAAATAAACGGGACTGGGTGACTACAGCCGGTTAATCTGCGCTCGGAACAGCTTGTAGGGACGACCTGATCGGTCGTTGTTTTGCCGCCATCGCACTATACAAGATAAGAACCTCCCAATTGAATCGATATTGTTAGAATCGTCCCTGAATGCATCGCAAGTGGTGTAGTATACTATTAATAGTGTGGATGATAACTGTATCGAGCTAGCGATTAGACTCCACGTCTTTGCTTGATGTTATTAGTCGTAGCCTGGATCTGACACCCGACATAGCATTTTGATACTGCTCCATTCACCTCCAATTTTTCTCGCGCATCCACCGGAATAGAATACTAACCATGTCGCTGCTTCACTTACCCCCAGAACTTCGTCTGGCGATTTATAATTATGCAGGCGCGCCCGGCAATGGCACATCGCATAGTTGTGAGGAGGAAGATGGTGACGAAGTGTCGCTCTCAATATCGTACCCCCGGCACTGCGTAGTGCAGAATGTGAAACTTTCGAATATTACCAACATCAACCTCAACCATCGGCTAGTAGAACGTCATTTATCTGAATCGCCTCGTGCATCTACATCCAATAGCAAAGGATGAGAGCGATGCTACCGCTAATCCTAATAGATATAAACAACACCATTCTACTCATCGATATTGTCAAGAAAAACTCGGCGGGCGGGAGTGTTTATGCAAAAGCCGGCACACAGTATACTCAAGTTATAGCAAGTTCAATTGTGGGATGCCCCCTACGCCATTGTTTTTAGTCAACTCATTGATGCGTAAGGACGTATTGCAGGTCTTTTTTGGTAAAAACCTTATCGTGGAATATCCGACCGAATCAATGGATTATCCGCATTCCGTGCTCCATTCTCCGAGTCGATTGCATATCTCAAAGTTCCTCAAGGAAGTTGTTCCCAAGGATGGTCTCCGCCATTTACGCTATCTTGAAATCGTTTTCGAGCGGTTCGAATGCATCGGGCACCTGGCATGGTGCGAATCTGGCAGCTTAGAGTTGCTGGATTCGGAACGCACAATTGAGGACATTAAGCTACACGTCGTATCGTCAAACCTTGCGATCAAGATTAGCTTCCCTCCTGATATGGGTAGGATCTACGGGCGCTCTCCCGACGCCCAAGACGAAGATTACATCTTTTCTCAGGAAGCATTCCTGAATCGGAGGAAATGCTATGTCAACACAGTCTTGCCTTTGCAGCGATTAAGTTGCCACTTGAACCACCTAGCAGTTTGCATCTATGGAGACATGGAAGAACCTGGAAGGAAGACTGAATATGCTGAGGAGTGGTCTCGTGAGCTCGAAAGCATAATTATGGGTGCTTCATATAAGCAACCAACAAGCGACGACTACGAGGCAAGTGGTCGGCCCGAGCCATTGTTCATGGCGACTGGATTTTGGCTCATAGATGCCAACTACTGTGGTCGAAGCAGAATCCAACTTGACTATGATATTTGAGTTCAGCAATGCAGTACTATTTCAACATAAAGTTGATTGGTTGTGGTCCATTCAGATTGGTGTGAGGACATGGCAAAATTACGATGCGATCCTTCGGCAGCTGGTTTCGATTAAAGACGTAACCGCACACCGCAACAGTGAAGCTCGGATGGGTGCGTCAGGCCAAGTTTCTTGTAGCAGTGCGTGAGTGACGACGAAGTGGTCTTGGTGTTGGTACCCAGCGATTGGAGATTGGTGGCCAAGCCGAATTCCAACAGCCAACAAGCGATATCAAATGCAGCCGCTGGTGCTTCATGAAACTGGCATCACAATGCTTCGTCTCGAGCTCGCCCAGATATCAAGATTGTAGATGCGGGCGTCTGGCTATGCTGCACATGGAGAAGCTGCAAGGCGATTCTACCAGTGCGGCATATTGATTTGTTCCAAAATGTCCCGACTTTCCATCCACTCTCAGTCAACACGTCACACTCGCACGGGCGTGCAATCGCGAATCCACATTGTGGAGAATTTGAGCTGAGCTGGATGCTGGTTTTTCGACTGCGTGATCACTACTCGCTCTACTTCAAAAGTATGAGGTTCTCCAAGCTGTCGCTTTAATCGTGTAGAGATCTTCGTTGTTAGAGAGCATTAAGGCATTCCAAGGTTGGTAGTATTACATATCTTTACACTGTGTGCAATTCTCAGGGACACTGGACCAATCAGAGCGGTCCGGGGGCTTTGAGAATTTCTGGACGTCACCCCACTACTGCGTGTGGATTACTAGAATTGCATGCGGACTCGCCGAGTTGTGGAGACTATCAGCGAAGAGAGGCGTAATCACGAAGTCACAGCAATCTCAAAGAAACCTGGGAAGAGACACGGGAAGATAACTCGTCGCTTCCGCGTCCCGATACGCGACTGCTTAGGTATTTACCAAAACGCCAGGCATCGAGGACTGACGCAGCGCAGCTGTCACACATAATATTGGCGAAATGGAATCGGAACTCCAAGCCCGGTTTCCTCAAGTTGACTCGGTGATCACTAGCTACAGCATTGGTTACCTTCAGCATTCTGCGCGGCAATTCAGCAGCGAAGATGATTTTGACCCGCTTACTGATGCCGCTGCGGCAGTTACTCAACTTCTGATCTCTGCCTCGGGAGAACCGTCAAATGAAAATGAGGCCGCTATTAAGAAGCTCGTTGACGAGCTTGTCACAAGGCTGGCGAAACAAAACGGCTTGCAAGGCGAACGACGGCAGCAGGCACCGTCGGCACGAAAGCTTGACCAGACCATCCAGGTTGGTGCTCAACGAAACATGTCATCAACTTTGGCGCTCGCGGGCGGTGCTGTCGATCTCGAATCTGCCAATACTCGTAAAGTCGAATCTCGGGTAGACAAGAAGAAACTCGAAAAGGCAGAGAGAAAACTACGTGCCAAGCAGGACAAAAAAGTGTACAAGACAGTCGAATATGAAGCTTCACGTCTACTCGACCAGCCGGATGAGCAAAAGTCGTACGAAGAATTCTTCATGGAAGTCAATCCTCTGCAATTGGGATCTGACAGTCAATCCAAGAGTAAAGATATCAAAGTCGATGGATTTGACATCTCCATCGGTGGCAAACGTATCCTGTCCGACACTAGCCTTACATTGGCGTATGGCCGCCGATATGGTCTGGTGGGTCAGAACGGTATTGGTAAATCAACCTTACTCAGAGCTTTGGCCAAGCGTGAGGTCGCGATTCCCACGCATATTTCAATCTTGCACGTCGAGCAGGAGATCACTGGTGACGATACTCCCGCGCTGCAAGCTGTGTTAGATGCCGATGTATGGAGAAAGCATCTATTGAAGGAGCAAGCCAAGATCAGCGAAGAACTTCTTCAGCTTGAGGCTGAACGCTCATCCATGGCCGACACATCTGCAGATGCTGCGAAACTTGATAAGCAACGTGAGGGTCTCGACATCACGCTGAGTGATGTTCAAGGTAAACTCGCGGAGATGGAGTCAGATAAAGCAGAATCGCGAGCTGCTAGTATTTTGGCAGGTCTCGGATTTTCGCATGAGCGTCAACAATTTGCCACAAAGACCTTTTCTGGTGGTTGGCGTATGCGACTTGCACTGGCACGAGCATTGTTCTGTGAACCTGACTTGCTGTTGCTGGACGAACCGTCTAACATGTTGGACGTGCCTTCCATTACTTTCCTTTCTGATTACCTTCAAGGTTACCCTAGCACTTTGTTGGTGGTATCCCACGACCGAGCATTCTTGAACGAGGTGGCTACAGATATTATCCATCAACACTCCGAGCGTCTGGACTACTACAAGGGAGCTAATTTCGAGTCCTTTTACGCAACAAAAGAAGAGAGACGAAAGACGGCCAAACGCGAATACGAAACACAGATGGCGCAACGTGCTCATCTGCAGGCCTTCATCGACAAATTCCGATATAACGCGGCAAAGTCGTCAGAAGCGCAATCTCGAATCAAGAAATTGGAGAAGATGCCTATCCTGGAAGCCCCTGAGAGTGAATACACGGTGCACTTCAAGTTCCCTGATGTTGAGAAACTGTCGCCTCCTATCATTCAAATGACAAATGTCTCGTTCGGATATCACAAGGACAACATCCTCCTCCGTAATGTTGATCTCGATGTCCAGCTTGACTCTCGAATCGGCATTGTCGGTCCCAACGGTGCGGGTAAAACAACAGCTTTGAAGTTGCTCATCAGTGCCCTCGATCCCACCTCAGGAGTCATCTCGCAGAACCCAAGGCTCCGAATCGGTTTCTTCGCCCAGCATCACGTGGACGCGCTTGACATGAATATGAGCGCAGTCGGTTTTATGGCAGTCAAGTATCCCGGCCGCTCTGACGAAGAGTACCGTCGCCACCTTGGTGCCTTTGGTATCACGGGAATGACAGGTCTCCAAAAGATGGCTCTGCTTTCGGGAGGACAGAAATCACGTGTGGCATTCGCATGCATCAGTTTGACCAACCCTCACATCTTGGTGCTCGACGAACCGTCCAATCACTTGGATATCGAAGCCATGGATGCCCTGAGTGTCGCGCTGCAGCAATTCCAGGGGGGTGTACTGATGGTCAGTCACGATGTCACGATGTTGCAGAATGTGTGCACCAGCTTGTGGGTGTGCGATCAGGGAACCGTGGAGCATTTTGATGGTACGGTCAAGGATTACAAGAAGCGCATCTCTGCGCAGGCCGGTACAGATGGTGTCGTCAAGCAGAAGTAGTAGGCCAGGAGGACATATATAGCGGTCAAAAACAATGCTTGGGATCAGAGTGCAGCTCATGCTGTATAGTTCTCATCATGTCGATTTTACGAACGCAAAGAGTGTCACGCAATGAAAACCTTCCTAGGTAATTCTGATATTAAAACCCCGAGGTTCTAGAACGGTTTATTAGTTGATGCTGCGCAGGGGGCAGTTTCTAACGGCTATCTTCAAGCCTGAGGCAGTCAATTTTCGCTGCCAAGCCCAATACTATCCAACTCGAAACGAACTGCAAACTTGTTCGTCAGAATTTTGCAGACCATCGCCCCCAAGCCAAATGGCACCCCAGACCCCACCACACATGCCAACCAGACAGGTACCCGCATGAGTGTGCTCAGCTTCAATCTTCGTTGTTCTTTCTCTTCTCAGCTTTGCAAGCTTTCATTTCCAACCCAAGCAGCCGGTTCTGCAGTTTTTTTCACCTTTCACCAATCGCGTACTTTTGCCAGCAAGAAAAGAATGCCTCCCAAGAAGGAAGTCAAGGTCGAGAAGATCCTGTTGGGTCGCCCGGGCAATAACTTGAAGAGCGGGATCGTATGTACGACATGTGCGTGCCTCGCGCGTAGCCCCATCGCATTGATCTGACGAGTCCTTTGTTCTCTAGGTCGGTCTGGCCAATGTCGGTAAATCGACATTCTTCCAAACCATCACCAAATGTTCTCTGGGTAACCCAGCCAACTTTCCTTATGCCACAATTGACCCCGAGGAGTCGCGGGTCATTGTTCCCGATGAACGCTACGATGAGTTGTGCAAGATTTACAATCCCAAATCGAGAGTACCGGCACACATGACCATCTACGATATTGCCGGTCTCACGCGAGGTGCATCGACTGGTGCTGGTCTCGGCAATGCCTTCTTGTCACACATTCGCGCGGTTGATGCCATCTACCAGGTTGTTCGATGCTTTGATGATGCCGAGATCATCCACGTCGAAGGAGACGTCGACCCGGTTAGAGATCTTGACATCATCAGCGATGAGCTCCGAATTAAGGATATCGAATTCGTTGAGAAGGCCCACGAGAACTTGGTGAAGCAGACTCGAAGAGGTGGCCAGTCATTGGAGATGAAGAAGCTGAAGGAAGAGCAAGCCACTGTTGAGAAGATCCTGGAACACCTCAAAGCTGGCAAGGACGTTCGAAAGGGCGACTGGTCGCCAAAAGAGGTACGTACATTTCACTTTTGGATCACCAGCATCTATTGCCATTTTTCAAGATGAACCAGAGATCACATCTCTATAATCCCAGCTCGTCGAACACCTCATTTTATACAACGCTAGAGGTGTACTGAGAGAACGTCTAACTCTGAAACACAACCATACCATATCCTCATCCGATGCCATTATTCGCGAACGATCGCTTGCTAACACCAACGGTCAGGTCGAGGTTATCAATCCTCTTTTCCTTCTTTCCGCCAAACCTGTTGTCTTCCTTGTCAACCTCAGCGAAAAGGACTACATTCGACAGAAGAACAAGTATCTGCCCAAGGTTGCCGAATGGGTCAAGGAGCACGCACCTGGTGACCCGATTCTTCCCATCTCTGTCGCCTTTGAATCGCGCCTTACCACCTTCGAGACTGATGCTGAGGCTGAGGAAGAATGCAAGAAGCTTGGCACCAAGTCTGCTCTCCCCAAAATCATTGTGACTATGCGCAAAGCCCTCAACCTAGGCTCCTTCTTCACAACCGGTACCGATGAAGTCCGTCAATGGACTCTAAGGAATGGCACCAAAGCGCCCCAAGCCGCCGGTGTCATTCACGGTGATTTTGAGAAGACCTTCATTCAGGCTGTGGTTTACAACTACGCGACGCTCAAGGAGGAAGGCGACGAAGCGACCGTCAAAGCAAAGGGCAAAGTCATGACCAAGGGTAAGGACTACGTCATGGAGGATGGAGATATCGTTCTGTTCAAGGCTGGTGCAGCCAAGTCATGAGGTGTATGTACTGTACTATGCCATCAAAAATCGAAATCAAGTGAAAGCACCGCTTTTCCCATCATTTGCAAATAGACACCGTTTCGACTTTCGCTTTCATGAACGGTCGTGTAATTTGACGTCAGGCGTTGTTTCGAGCTCCACGATTTCTAATCTTACAGTACGAACGAGGTGAAAAAGGTTGCAGAAGAGACAGTGAACAGTACAGCCAGGAAGGGTTCGTTGGAGTGTGGCGCAGTGATGACCAAAATAGCTCTGACGGTGAACTTCAAACGGAAAGCCAGTCGTGTCAACCAGGCCGATAACGATGTTTGGGTGCGCGATTCACGGAATTGTTATTCGGGGTAATGATCTCGGAGTCTCTCGTTTCTCGGCAAGATGTCTTCTGCACTCGTTTGTCGCACACCAGAGGTCAGACTCTTGACAGGTACAGAGCTTTTTGAATCCCTTTCGACCAACGACAAGCTCTTCGCACACTACGCTGCAAAGTATGATTATCACAACTGAGATTGGCTTTCGATAATGCGAATGCTGACAAGGTTCGATTTAGAGCTGCTTGGCTGGGTGCGAGGATCATCCTTCGACAAGTGTCCCCCGAGTCTGAATCGATCTTCGACTTCATCATCCAGCTGTACAACTCGTGTGATGGAAATTGGAAGCACCTTGGTCATTCGCTAGGAATTCCAGACGACGAGTTGGGCAGGTTCCTTGAATTTGCAGCAACTTTCCTCAGTAATGTGGGAAATTACTACGTAGGTTGATGTTGGAAATCTATTGCCATCCATTGCTCAATCTGTGAACAGGGCCATGGTGATCAAAGATTCATCCCGGGATTTACGACTGAGACCTTCCGAAAGCTTACATCGGTATCAAAGATCACGCAATACCTTGCAGCACAGCTCGAGGCAGTCATTTTCGCACCTCTTCCGGAGACAATTGGTCTGCCGGGTGCATCCACGCAAAGCGCATACTATCAGTCCTTGTCGGGCATTTCTCGTCAGGAGATCGACAGCGTTGGTGCTATCGCGGCGCACATGAATATAGATCCGGAGAACACAAGATTATTCAAGTCCGAGAGTCAGACAGGCATCATCGTAGACATTCTCCAGGCATCCGTGGAGAAGGATATCGCAGAGAACGTTTTACACGACAAGGATGGTCTGAAAGTGCTACTTGTTCGGGGCGACTTCTCTGATGTATTGCAACGAATCTGCGAGAACCTTGAGCAGGCAAGTGTGCACACCAACGATGAAAAGAAGAAGGACTATATTTCGCAATTGTGTGCGAGTTTCCGGACAGGAAACATGGAGCAGTACAAGGAATCTCAGAGAACCTGGGTGAGAGACCATCAGACGACAATCTCAACGGTGTTTGGTTTCGTGGAACCGTACAGAGATCCGTGTGGCGTCCGAGCCGAGTTCGAAGGCATCGTCGGCATCGAACATCCGGGTGAGACAGCTATGTTACGTCGGCTACGCGACAACGCAGGCACCTTCATCAAACGACTCCCATGGGTGGACAAAGATCATGACGATGATTCGTTCGGAGCCTTTGAGGTGAATATGGTAGGCGGGCTCCACTTTGTGAGCGTCGAAAGTATGGTTGTCCGTCCTGCATGACGAGTAGAACAGAACACTGACGGGCCACAGCGATCGCGTACTGCAGCACTCTGGTGTTTCCTGGAGTTAATCTTCCCAATGTATGATGCATGCTTCCGCCTGACATGTGGAGGGCTAACACACAATCAGTATAACGACATTCGAGCTGAAACAGGATCCAAGAATATCATGATCTCGAACCGTCTAGACGGTACACCAATGGCGGGTGATTCGACCGCTGTGACTCTTCATGAACACGTGAAAGGAACGTTCATGAAACACAGAAGTCACACGTATCATCTTTGGGTAGTGTTCCATGAGCTTTTTGGTCATGGCACTGGCATGCTACTTCGAGGAGCCAAAGGCGAAGCTTGCAATTTTGACATCGATAATCCTCCGATTAGTCCACTGTCCGGAAAGCCGATCGATACGTGGTACAAGCCTAACGAGACGTTCACAGGAGTGTTCAAGGATATTGCCACAAGCGTCGATGAGTGTCGCGCAGAATGTATTGGGGCTTACTTGCTGAGCGAAGTCGACCTGCTGGCACTTTGCGGATACCCAAAGGACGGTGATATCAAGCCATCCGATCGTAAGTACCGACTTGCGATCTCTCTGGCACCGCTGACGATTCACCAGTTGAGTACAACATGTATCAGCAGCTCGCAGTGGCAGGAGTGCGCAGCCTGGAGAACTACTCGGTGGATGAAAAGGTACGGTTGTACGACCACTTCTCGAAGGCACCTTGCGTACTAACCACGATTCTTTTACAGAAATGGAGCCAAGCACACAGCCAGGTAAGTAAAACTCTTTTGGCGACTACTTTTTGCCGAGTTGACTTGCTCACCATAGATACAGGGCCACTTTGCCATGTTTCAGGCCATCCGTCGAGCAGATCCTGATCTCATTAAAGTCAACATCGATGCCGTCAACAATAAGCTGCACGTCCGTGTCGATCGGAGTCTAAGGAATGCAGAGCGTGGGAGGTCTGCATTGGGCGATCTTTTGATGCGCCTGCATATTTATCGATGCACTGCAGATGTGTCACGATGTCGCACGCTTCTCGACGAGCTCACTGTGCCCGCGCAAGAATGCCTTGAATGGAGAAAGATCTTGCTCGAGGAAGGGGCAGTGAAGCGCGTGTTTGTACAACCAAACACTGTCATTGTCAATGGTGGAGTAGTCATCAATGACTATGAGCCGACGGTTCAGGGATTAATCCAGAGTTGGGCCGAGCGACAGGTATGAAGATTATGGTATAAATCATGTTTTTCAAACGTTACTATCTATATTGTAAAAATCGTTTCACTCGCAAGCCATGTCTGCATCCTTCCATAGGCTCCATAAGAATTATACGTGCGATGAGAATGTCTGAATACCTTGCATAATAGTCTGCAGCAGCGCCAAGAAGGTCGCCAGACTACCGAACATGATGACAGCCCAACATGTATACCACTGCGCACGATCTCTCTTATCACGCCACATGGCGAGCCAACCTCGAGGTCTAACGCTAGAGAGTTGATGTTGTAAGATCGCGATTCGCTGACGCAAAATCGGAAAGTCGCGCGATAATCTGTAAGACTCTCGGTCTGGCCCAAGAGTCTCCGGGAGTCCTCCAGTCTTTGTACATAAATTGAGAAGTAGCTCGTCGGGCTGATATGTTGGAAGTCGACTATTAGAGAAGTGCTTCTTGTAAAATCTTCTGGATTGTTGGTCTTGGCCGAAGAGTAATCGGTACGACAAAACGATTTCTTTCAAAAGCTGTGTCACTTCTTCGGGTCGAGCCCACGACCCTCTGTATTCATCTTTGGATGCGAAACTAATATTTGTGAGAATGTTTCTCGTGGCGATGCAATTATTCCACGTACCTGTGTAGAACGCTGTCAAGAGCGTGATCTCCAGAGCAACATGTGTGTGCTAGGCAAAATGACGGCCATCGATATAAGAAGATGGTGTTGGTCGCTTTATCCAATTCTAAATGTGGTGCAATTGTGTCCACCCACTTGAATTTGAAGTTGGCGAGATCTGACAGTGCCGCGGCATTGAGCGACGCGGGTGTCACAATCTGAGCCTTCTCCCATGCTTCACGATCTTCTGCTTCTTCGCATGTGCAGGAATCTACTTTCGGCAACATCAGCCCAAATTCAAGCAGAGTGCTAGCGATTGGACGCTTGACATCAAGCTCATCTGGACAAAGTCTGAAGAAGGAATGGCTCCGGTAACCGTCGAGAACATCTGTAATAGCTAGAGGCCCCGACGGCTTCGAGATATCCGCTTAATAGAGCATGCTTTGCCAGCCCAAAATCATGAAAACAATCGTCTGGGCGAGTCTTGTCGCGTCAAGCTCGTTTTCTGGAACAATCATCCGGCGCTGAAGCAAGTTGTGTGCAATCCTGTCCAGACTGTGATCGGCTTTCGCGTGTTTGGCGATTTCGTCATATGTAATGCGAATATCCGGGATTGAATGCTTAAATTCAGAGGGCATGTTAGCGACTTGTTCGCGAATCCATTGCGGATACCAATTGCAGTAATGCGCATATTTGTTGTCCACAACGCTGATGGCGTTTCTCTGAAGAATCGTAGACAGCATCGATCCGGAAAGATCGTTTTGCATCGATATAAATCTTCCGCTAAGTGGCCTTGATGCATTCTCTTCAGCTTTGGTTTGTGATGTGATGGACTTCGTCGTGCTCATTCTGAACAGCAGGTGGACCACCATAGCTCAAGTTCGGCACTGGAGATCTAGAGAAAGAGATCATATGGAGATGTTGTGCATTGCGGCTCCCAGTCCGACCAGCATTATATAAATGCATGCCTGAACGCTCGTGGGAACCTCCAGTGGCCCCCGAACTCACTGTCGAGAATCACTTGAGGTTCGATAGACGAGGAGGATGCCATGGCCTGACCTGGACAAACCTTAAATCCCCAAACCCAGACAAATCGCACCAATGGCGCCCTTGATGCACGTGCGGGCAGCGGGACACGCTTCAGTGGGCGCTAAGCTGCAGAGCTTGCACACCATTATCCAGACTCCAGACCATCCCGCCCGATCGCGCCAAATGACAGGCTGACAATGACTGGAGCGGACGGGACACCGACCAGCGCGGAACAAGGCTACTTTCGAACCATTTTCCAGTGCCCACTCAGCGTTCGACTATCAGCTAGTAAGCACATCAAGAATGTCCACAGCAACAAGTACGCCGACAGCGAGAGCGCTTGCCCGATTCCAGGTTGGATATTGATGATGTCAAAGTCCAGGATATCAGTAGTCCAGAGGAAGTGTTGGCAGCAGCTAGAGCACTTCGGCCGCTCCAGCGCACTTCCTCTGGTTGCTCAGGCTCACGCTCTTGGCGGACTACCACTTGCGATCACCCAAATTAGTGGTTTCATTGTACAGCAAAAGCTATCTCTCCAGGGCTCACAAGCTCCATATCTCTTGATCAACGTAGTGCTGCGTGGATTCACAAAAGAGGCGCTCCTGGACATCAGAATGGGCATATTCTCAGCACCGTTTGGACCGTAGCAATACAGTCATCACCCGTGGAATCGTGCCGATTCCAGAGCTTACTTGCTCTTCTCGATCCAGACAACATTCATGAAGACGTTTCGCTCACAGAAATACATCATCCCCAATCCGATGACTTCGAGTTTGTTGTAGACGAACTTGAGTGAGTCGTGTGCATGCGTGTCATCTGAATGGAATTTGCCAATCCCTCTACAGTTTCATTGACGCGAAAGAACCCTTGCTGAAACAGTCTCTTCTCCAACGCGACTAGCATGAGGCATCGCTATCCATCAATCGTCTCGTACAATTTGTAGTACTCGAATGACTTCCACCACAAGAGCGATAGCATCAGAGATCGTTGCTAGATCGGCCCGGGACACCGGCTCGAAGCGGTTGCGTTGACATCATTAATAGGCCACCGCCTGCGACCTGCGCCACCAACTGTGCGCATGCTATGCCATATAATAATACATCTATCAGAGCATTGCAATCATCAACATACGCACTTCGGCTCCATCACGATGCTCGTCGGATGTTTCGAGGCCTGCGTAGCGCGGTCCACTCCGCAGCGTCCAGGTGATCCCAAACAGCGCTCCTGATCGGACGATCGTGCTTTTTGGCACATGTTGCATTCAACGGGTATCGATCATGATATACCTAGGTATTCTCCGATGGTTGCAATCGTGACAGATTAAACGAAACCCCCTATGGGCCAGGGAGATGACCATTCGGAGAGAGCCGAGCCATGACGCAGACGGCTCGTCAAACGCACTCACCAAGGACGATATAGAGAGCGCACCTTTGCAGAAGCCGGAGCGGATGTTCCGAATTATCTGCCGCGGTTCACGGGTATGGGGTCGCCAAGTCCGGGCATCCTGGATCACGCCCTTCCATACCGTGGACAGCTGGAGTCGTTCGGCCGCGTTTGTCAGCGAAGATCACGTGCCAATGGTCACGTGGATGGCCGTCCTCCAAACACCACGGGAGAAGCGGGGGCGTCCGTGACTGCAGCCATCGATGTAACTAACCTCCGCACAACTCCACCGTGGTCAGTCGGTCGTCCTCTGATCCGTTCAATGAATCGGCAGCTTCGTGGTTGCTGCACGACCCTGCGTGACCTGCGCACCATTCGGCATTTCCATTGTCTCTCTGTACCGGGTCTGATGACATGGAGAAATGCACTGCGGGCTTGGCTCACGCTGGATTTGTGCCCGTCTGTATAAAAGGAAACAGTAATGGACGGTTTCGATGACGATGATCGTGGCGGTCACGACACAGCTCGCTATATGTGTCGCCCGCCCATGATCGCTGTACGGAGCAACGGGTGCAGGTCAGCACCAGTCACTATTGTTCATCTATATCCATATATCTTCCGACCTCAGGTAGCGTGTCTCGCGAGGTCGGCCCTTACTTCACATCGGTCCTCGCACATACGATCAAGCAAATATGAAGACCTCATCTGCCGTCTTGGCGACAGCCGTAGCGTGGACCAGCCTCGTGAATGCGCAATCTACCTATTCCTCCTTGACTTCATCGTATGCTCCCTTGGCGTCCTGTTCGTCCAGTCTCACGGCGAAATATGCTGCTCCTTCAGTGGCGCCGGGATACGTCGCTCGATTGGTCGCTCAGGACCTGTCCAGGCCAAGAGGGATCAAGTTTGACAATGAAGGTAATCTGCTGGTTGTGGAGCAGGACAAGGGCATCGCAGCTTTGACTTTGGTCGAGTCCGGCGCCGGGTGCTGGAGCGTCAGCAGTCGCAGGATGGTCATAGACGAACCGAGCTTGAACCATGGCATCGTAAGTGGTCTCTCGTTGGAGGCGACTGTCTTGAGACAGAAGACTAAAGTGAACCGAGCAGGAACTTTCAGCAGATGGCAATACCCTCTATGCCTCCAGCGGTGAGACGCTCTGGTCTTGGGCGTACTCGAGCTCGTCACAGACCAACACGTCAGGCCCACGGGCTCTCGTGACCGGCATGGCCGGCTCAGACCATACCTCTCGCACGCTCCTCCTCTCGAAAAAAGCCCCCGGGCTGATGGTGATCAACCGCGGAAGCAATTCCAACATCGACCCGGAAGCCTCATCGATCACGACGGGACACAGCCAAGTCAAGGCCTTCAACCTGACCAACGCCACCGACGGCCCCTACGATTTCAACACGGACGGCCTGCTGCTCGGGTGGGGCCTGCGGAACGACGTCGGCATGGACGAGGAGCCGCTCCACGGGGGGATCTACTCGGTCGAGAACAGCGCCGATCAGATCAGCCGGGACGGGGTCGACATCCACCGCGACAACCCGGCCGAGGAGCTCAACTTCCTGGGCTACCTGAACGGCACGTCCTCTGCGAACCAGGGCCGCAATTTCGGCTATCCGGAGTGCTTCACGGCGTGGAACACGTCGGCCATTCCGCGCTTCGGCGGCACGGTCGGCCAGCAATTCGCCATCGGTGAGTCTGACCCGTGGGGACGGCGCGCCTCGATTTGATTTCTGTCTTTTAGCTATCGTTGTTGTTTCTTCGGGTTCCTCAGCATGGAAAAAAACCCCCCCAACAGGGCACACCACCACCCCGCTCCCCCAAAACACAACCCAACATTTCGTTCTCCTCTGACAAAAACTTCGGTGAAACCTCCCAGATGCATCCAACGCCACCCTCAACGACACCCTCTGCGACCGCTCCCACCGGCAACCCGCCGTCCTCGCCTTCCAGGCGCACACGGCGCCGCTCGACCTGCTCTTCACCCCGAGCGGCACGACGGCCTGGATCACCTTCCACGGGAGCTGGAACCGGGAGTCGCCAGTCGGCTACAAGGTCAGCGCGGTGGCCTTCTCGGGGGGCGCTCCCACCTCGCGGCTGGAGGACAGCGCGGCGGCGACGGTCGACGTCGTCGCGAACCCGGACCTCGCCGCCTGCCCCGGGGCCTGCTTCCGCCCCGTGGGCCTGGCCTGGGACCCGCAGGGCCGGCTGTTTTTGTCGAGCGATTCCACCGGCGAGATCTACGCCGTGTTGCGGACGGACGGCGTCCCCGTGGCGCTGGGCCCGACGCCCGTCCGGTCGGCGGACGGCACCGGCGGCGCCGGAACGACGGCGGCGACGGCGCCCGCGCCCAGCAGCACGAACCTGGCGGCGTCGGTGGGCGCGAGCGGGGTCCTCGCCGTCGGGTTCGCGGTGTTGGCGTTCTGGCTCTGAGCGGAGGTTTGGTTTGGTTTTTTTCGTTGTGTTTTTTGGGGCCCTTCCAGATATGAATTATGATGATGATGATGATGATGATGATGGTGATGGACAAGATGGACACGATGCCGATATCATCCAACGGAGTTTTCTGAGAATTGGAGGGGGAAAGGGGATGGGGGGGAAAGGGTCATGTCCCTTGCCGTTTTCCAATCCAGAAAAGGTGCGAAACCCGATAGGAAAAAACCGGGGAAGACGAGGGAAAAGAGATCGGAAAAAAAGATCTTCGTCAAGAAGTGAGATTGTTCGAAACATGCCC